TACTTCCACGACACACGGCACTTGACAGAGGTTTTGGCTTATTTTAATTAAATAATGTGGAGGGGCTGTCCTGCGATCTAATTGACGCAGCGCCATCATCCGAGCAAGCACACTCGCATCTAATTAAAATAATGATTCCCCAACCACCGGATGGTTTTCCTACGGAAATATTTGCGGGGCGTGGCGATTGCCTTGGACCCGGAGTCGACGTAGCCGGAGTTTCCGGCCAAGAAAGAGCGGCGGCGGCATCAGGGCGTAACGAAATGCACATAAAACAGGGAGAATTTACAACCAGAGTCCTTCTTAATGTGCCATGGCGAACCGCAGGACACTGCCTGCCAGAAATCAGACACCAGTCCGACTGGGGCTTCTTTTTTGGGCGGCTTTTGGCCTCATTTCGAGCGTTTATTCATTGTGCCTTTTAAGAGCTTCCGTTTCGTCACGCATAACGCTTTCGAACGACAATGACACGAACATCAAAATCATCAGCATTATCTGCACAGCCACACGGAACACGGAGTACGGAGAACGGCGTCCGGAACAAGGAACAAGCGACTAGGGAGGGGGAAAGGGGACAGGGGACAGTTCACGTATCGGGGACTTCACTGTGAGTGAGTGTCCATGGAATGACGAGCTCTTAAACGCCCGCAATCCAACTACAAAATGGAACAAGTGCCAGTGAGTAGGGATCAACTAGAGATGACAACTTGGACATTATCCTGGAAAAACTGATGCTAATTTGATTAACTTCCCTGTGCAGAGAAAAAACAAAAATTGTTCCAAAACTTTTCTTTAAAGTTTACACCTTGAAACACACTATATATCTTCCCAGACACTTTTTTTAAAAGCCAGAGTTCACCTACTTGCGGAACATACATAATATATATTTCCATGTATACTATTGTATTCAAAGTTTTCTAGTCCATTTTTCTAGGTCTAAGGAGTTTTTAATCGTATTAATTAATGAATTCATTTTGCACCGTAAAAAGAATTTTATTTATTTAAAACTATAAATATCTTGTAACATGTTCCTTAAATCAATTAAATAAAAAAAGGTATTTTCTTTGAAAAGGCCTATTTAATTTTTGATTGATTATTGGTTTGATGAATTGAAAAATAAAAGGAATACGACAGATTCAGAGTTGTTAGAAGAGTTATTAAATATTTTTCGTACGCTTTTGGGGTAGTACCAAGGACAAGGCCCATTTTAGGAACAAATAGCTGTCATCACTGGTGTGAGGTTACCCGCTCCCCCTGCTCCTAGCCCATGGCTAGGCCAATGAGTGAGGTGTTCCTGTCCGGCACTCCTTGTCTGGCCATGTTTGACAACATCTAGGCAAAATGGCGACGTCGTCGTTGTTGTTAAGGCCCCTGCATGACTGGGCGTATGCGTAACGTAGCGTTTACGAGCGTGTTTTTATCGCCATCGACATCATCCGTGGCGCTTGTAAGCATTGCTGCATATTTTAATTTAACGCTAAGCACAACTATAAGCACATAAAATTTCATTGCACTCGCACACTCGGACTGAGCGAATAAATAAACAAACAAACAGGCGATCACAAAGGGAGTTTCGTTGGCATAAGCAAACAATTTATATAATTACCCGCACAGTTGCTGCGCTTAACTGATTGCTTTATTATTTTTTCGAGTGTCATGTTTGCCGTTTTAATTCCGACAACAATACGGCTACAGCATAAATATTAACGACTGGTCTGAGCCCAAGTCCAGCGTCCTGCGAATCTCGGCCATGGTAATAACAATAATGGTCAGCTACAAAAAAAAAAAAAAATACTCGGCTTAAACACATGCAAATATTATGGCAAATAAATTTGTTCACATCATCAACACATTTACTGTGCTGGTAACTTAATTACATATGTAAACAATTACAATCCATGAGGCAATAAAAACGTTGGAATCTGCAGCTGATGGTATTCAGCGAATAGTTGGCCAAGAGAAATGCCCAAATATTGAGCCCCAACATCTTCAATCGAATGCCTAAGTCATATTCAGTGGGCAGAAATCAAAGCCAAGCAATTATAGGAGAATATAATTCGGAATTAGAGGGAAGCGTTCGAATTTGTATTTGGATTGCTTACCATGAGTTATCGGAGAAAATGTAAATGAAAATGGCAACATTGTAATGCCACTCCACTTGCAGTGAAATGTGCAGTCACTGCCAGCGAATTTTCGTAATTGCCACTCGTCGTGTAAATAAAACGAGTGCCACTGACATGTGCAGCGTTTCTTTTGCATATATTACTACTCGCACTTTTTTCGCAATTTCAAGTGCAGCATGTTCGACTTTTTTCGTCAGGTGCATTGACGCATAAATTCCAGCAATACAGCAATACAGAAGAGTCTCCCAATAAATGCGATTGAAAGTGGCACTGTTGCAACTTGAATGATGCGGTGCTCGGCTATAAATAAACTCTTTATGCATGCATTAATAAATAAAAGAGAACCGGACCACTAATCACTGCACTGATTTATTCAAATTGGCTGTGGAATTTATGACAAGATTTGCCAAACCACTTCCAAATCCATGTCTAATTTTAAATGGAAATATATATTGCTTCTGCCCCCTTGGTCGCAAACAAATCAACTCAAGTGTATCGAAATGAGTTTCGGCTGATTTTCCCCCATCGTCCCAAAATATATATACATGTATCACCCTCTAGATTTCGGTCTGCCAAAGGCTGTGACATTTCATTCGCCGGCAATTAGAAGCCAATTTCACGCGTCGCTCTCGCAGCGAAATCATAAATTTCGTCCGACACTTGTTCGGCTGAAAGCGACTTAAATGGTTTTAGGTGTTACGACCAAGTCTATATTTCGTTGGAGATAGCCATTTGGGTGTGCGTTTAATGGGTAATTAAAATTGTTTGTTATCTTTGTAGTTTCCAAAACTTTGTATTAACATTTTTGTTATTTTCTTTTAAATAAGTTAAAATTTCTAGATACTTTCATACCTTTTGACTAAAGGAAATGAATCAATAAGAAACGTTTTTGTTTTTAGGCATTTGCTCTTTTTGTTACACTTATTGATGCATAAGATTTAAGATTGTATTACAAAATTCCTTAAATTATTGATCTTAAGTAGTCCTTTTTGTTCAAGTCAAACAAATATTTAAACACATATTTACATTGAATGTTCTATGGGAAGGAACTGTTTATTTATTAGCAAGTCTATCTAAAATTTGTAACTTAACTCACTCGAGTTTTTTTTACAGACTATGGCTTTAAGTAATTTGTTCCCATCAAAAGAGTCCCCGTTTGCCAACACGATGTCCAAGGTAAAAGCACATCTTGAATATTTGCGAAATGAGCCGCACATCTGGAAGTTGGAGTTGGAGATGAGAAAACGAAAAAGGATATACGCACAGGATGCCAGTTTTTCCTCTCGCATCCAGTTAAGAAAAAATCCTGATATACTGGCAGCCTTTAAAAAGGACGAGGTAACTCTGGCTCATTTTAATAGCTTGGTGCCAAACATGTTTTATGATGTACAATTACCAACGAATTTGTCAAATTTGAATGCATATCTGGTCATTCCTGACGAAGCCGATCACGAACAAGAGTCTTCATGCTAAGATTCAAATTTGTTACTTAAATAATATATGCATTTACACACAATACCAGCTGAAAAATAAACATATTGCTTTAGCTGCAATTAAGGCAGCCATCGATTAAACCATCAATCAGATTAACATTTGAGTTCGTGACAAGATGCAAGTGCCAGCTTTGTAAATTTCAGTATTTCATACATGCAAAAGACGAGTCAATAAGCTGGCAAAAGCTCAAAAGCAATTCCGCAGACGGGCTAAAAGTCAACTGAAATAAAACGGAAATCGCATTCGATGGCAACAGACATTTGATGGCCACCGGATCATTTTTCACTTCATTCATAAGCCGGGAAACGTAATTTATGATGGGAAATTCCTAAGACGAAGCAGCAGGCGATAAATTTACAGTTTCCAAAACGTTATTAATTGCTAATTACCTCCGAACATGATTAATGCCGTCGGAGCAGCCGCGTTCATCTCCATATCAGTATGCCCATTGACCTGGCACTTACACACAGATGCCAAATATTACATTAATTGAATATTATATTGACAGATTTTAAGTGAATTAAGTTTAACTCATTGATGTTAAAATGATTTGCAGATACCTCAAACACAAATATGTAAAGTCTTGTGTCCGAAAAGCATAAAATATTTTTGTGGTTCACAACTTAAAGCCATTTGCTCCAATTAAATTCATGTTTTCTAAGTAAAATAAATCATAAACTTATTATTGGTGAAAGGATTTCATCAAAGAACCCTTTTCCTCTGTGTAGTAGGAAGTCATCACAGTTTCCAATCGATTCAAGCGTCAGCCACGTGTGACTTTCTTTCAGGCGGGCCGAGCGTGAAACTGCCGTGTAATGTAATTATTGCAAAACTATTCATCATGTTTTGGGCGCCGCCCGCAGCAAACAGCAGCCACTTAGCTGCCGCGCCTGGGTCTGTCAAACGCGGCGTATGAGCAATGTGGTCCCAAGCTCACAAGCGCACAGGCGTGCGAGGTTAACTAATTAGCATGTCAAAGCCATCCATATTGCGATGCCCAAGCCTTTTCAAAGTGTTGCCTCCATTGAAAAGAAAAGCCAACCCAAAGGCGCAAATCCCATTTAATTATGCTTTTATATTCATAATCCCCCTTCATGTTTTTAACATATTGTGAGCCTTAAAGGACACATCTATCTGTTTTGATTAATCCTTTGTCAATGGCTCGGACTTAAGGCAAGCAACTAATTTGCTCTCAATGGGCCCCAAGACAGAGGATGCTGTCGTAAAACAAAACGACCCAGCACACACAATATAAAATTAAATTAAATTTGTCAAGGGCTCGATGGCGAAGGACCAAATGTTGTGCTGCCATATGTGAGGGTTGTTCACAACGAATATAGGCAGCTAATATAATCCACAGAAGCTATTAAAATGGACAGTTAATCAAGCTAAAAAATGTTGAGCACTTATATTTTCAAAATGTTATTAAACTATGCGACTATATTGATGATATCCTCATTTGGCATCGACTGTCTATGTGCCTCATGATGGTGTCTCTTTTGAAGTCCATAAACGTGATTCCTGTGTTTGTAATGACCTTCTTTACCCTGCTTTCTGTGGCATTGACCGTCTTTTCCGAGGGTCTCATATGGTCGGCATTTACGTCCAGTCCGGAGCAACCGACCCGGCAATATATAGTTCTTGCGGTGAATATTGTGCCCCGAAATGGGCGGACCCGAGTAAGGTGCTCTCTTTTCTTTACCTGACGCGACTTTTTCGTGGTGAACGCTCCGTCCAGCTAAGCCGAAATTGGAGATCATTACCTTGCCGCCATTCAAACTGCTGTGCCGCACATCCACCCGTTTTGATTCCCTGTGCGGAGGCAATAGTGGGTTTGAACAGCCGAAGGGAGTCCTGACCTCATCATCATTGCAATGCACATTGTCCACCAAGCCTGCTTTCTCCTTTGCCTTTTCGAAGCCGTCGTCCTTCCAGGATCGCATTACGATCCGGTTCAGAAAGTACTCGCGGTCCACGCAGCCATTCTCGGATAGAATTTCGGTGGGCTTGCACTTTGATGCGGGTGATGAATTTGAAGACTCTGGCTTATTGATTTTAGAAGTTTCTTTGGCTGCTGCAACTGGTACTGGTGGTGCAGGTGGTGCAACTGGTACCGGTGTTTCTGGTTGTGCAGGCTGTGATGGCTGTGCATTTTTTGAATCATCTTGAACAGTTATTGCCAAGAAACAGATAATAATAATCAGCCCACACAAGCTGAGATGATTTTGCATCTTGGTGAGCAAGACAAAACAAACTGAAATAGATTTTCTGAATGAAAATATGCGGAACGTATTACGTCCCAGTCTAAACAATTAATTTGCCTTGCCCCACCGTCACAGAAACGGTTAGTATGGTATAACAAAATTAAAAATTTTAATTCAAAAGAACTTAGAAAACAATAGTATCATTAGACTTGAAAGTCAACAATCTTTAAATCTATAAAAAAGAAAACAAAAAAAAAAGAGAGAGAAAGTTATCTAACGCATAACGTTATATAATAAACTAAAACTGTTAAAAGTGTTTCACGTCGTTCTGGATATAAACCAATTAATGTATTCTATGATCAAGTATTTTTAGTAAGATACCGTAGTCCGCACTACATTTGCCTCTCATTATTATTATTTACTAAGCGTTTATGGGTTCGCTTTTTGATGCAGCGACTCCTTCTTCCAAGGACCTCATTTGGTCGGCAATTGCGTCTGGTTCTAAGAGCTCTTCCTGGCAAAAATACGTAGCTCCGTGGCCGATCGGCACCAGTGATTGGAGGTCCCAGATTTCTAGCTTTCTTAATAGGTTTTTGTTCTTCATCCCCCTGGTGACTCACTTTAAAATGGATACTGTCGTGCCGCACTTTATTGTGATTTAGTCTGCTGTGGTGCACTTTCACCCGATTTGATTCCCTGTGCGGAGGATATAGTGGATTTGAACAGCCAAAGGGAGTCCTGACCTCATCATCATTGCAGTGCATTTGGTCCACCAAACCTGCTTTCTCCTTTGCCTCTCCGAATCCAACGTCCTTCCAGGATCGCATTATGATCCGGTTCAGAAAGTACTCGCGATCCACGCAGCCATTCTCGGATAGAATTTCGGTGGACTTGCACTTGAATGAATTTGAAGATTCTTGTTTACTGATTTTAGAAGATTCTTCGGCTTTTGCAGATGGTACTGGTGGTGCTGGTGGTACTGGTGGTACTGGTGGTACTGGTGGTGCTGGTGGTGCAGCGGGAGCTGGATTATCTGATTTTGCTGGAGTTGCAACTTTTTCCTCATCTTGAAGTGTCGGCCCGATGAAACTCAGCATTATGCTCAGCACAACTAAGACCCTTTTTTTCTTCATCGTGCGACTGTCTTGCTGCTAATTGCAATCCGAACTAAAATAAATACACATTTAATTACAAAACTCGTTTAGGTAGAAATAATAGTATTATGTTATTGGCAATCAATCGATTTGTGTTGCCCAACCGTTAAATTTCCTTTTAACAGCTTTACTTATACACCTGCTACTCACATTCGGTCAAAAAGTCGTAACTAGAGAAGCAAGTGTTATTTACCTTATATAAATCTGAGAAACTAGAGAAATGTGATGGAATATTCAGAGATTATAAATTCGGAAAATTGTAGTCTTGTTTTTCATGCCTTTACTAGTTTTACAATTCGGAAAAAGGTAATTCATATTAACCAAATTTAAATGTATAAATATTATCAATGTTCAGTAGTCAGTCAAAACATCAAACGAAAGTATTTTGAGGAGAACTGAAACTTTCAAGGTGTTGCTGAGGCGGTGGCTTCTTTTTGGGGCTTGTTGTTTCGTTGTGCAATCTCAATTTCCCCCACAATAAAATTAATGTTTTACGTAGCCAATTCCGAATCGTTTATTTCACATAAAAATGCGATAAATAAGCGGCGCATCCTGTGCGACGCCGTCGAAGACTCCAAGGATAAGCAGTGGTTGTTGTTGTGCGTGGGGGCAGTGGTTGTTGTTTATATTGTTGGCGTCGAGTGTTGTTGTCCGCTTGTTGTTGGTATTTTACTCGCAGCGCACCTCCAGCATCGTGTATTTATAGCGCAAACAATGCAAAGGATGTTGTGCAAGGACATACGCGCCGGATTAAGGCGGATCGGGAAGTGGCGGCGAGGGAACTTTGAAAAAGGGGGCTTACGAACAAAGCAGTATACCGCCACGCCACTCCTTCTCTCTCTCTCGCTCTCGCTCTTTATCCTCCTTTTCTCCGCCTTTCTCCTTTCTCTTTGGCGGTTGGTTAAAAATAAAGGGGGAGCCACGGAGACAAAAGCTGCGGAGCTGCTTACTTCATGGGTCTCTTATCCAACGAAAACTATAGGGAAGACAAGGTCTTGATCGAAGTTTGGAAAACCTTTTTGGAATTTGATATTATGTATTTAAAACAATGTTTACTCTAACAAATTATGGAATTTGCATTGCTAAACAATATTTATTAGAAATATATCTGAACAAATTGCTAAGATGATTTCCTGCTTATGAACTTCGTATTAAAATTGTTAACGATGTTTTACTTTATGTGATCAGAATTCTGTAAGAATTCTAAAAAGTGCCCAGCAAGGAATTTGTAATAAAGGCAAGCTCCACTGCAGGATCAGGAGATGTGGAGGTTGAGAGAGTGGCAACAATGGTGGGCCACGTGACCCCTTCGAAATCCTGGCAACTCTGGCTCTCGCTTTGCGGCTCCCGTTAAAAATTTCATGTTAATGGCCACACGAAGATTCGCTCTTAACCCTTTTGGCCCGTGGCTGTGGGTGTGGGCGTGGCTGTTGGTGTGAGTGGGAGTGGGAGTGTGTGTGCGGTGGTGTGGCTGTATCTGTGGCAGCGTGTAAGTGTGCGTAACAGGTCATTGTCCCAGCGTTTTTCGGTCGCACCTTTATGCCGACGACAAGGCAGCTTATTTCCTTTGGCTGTCCCTTCTGCAAATTTCATTCCAGCCGGTGCACACGCAACCGTCTTGCCGTCGGATGTCCTTTCGTCCTTTTCCACCAAAAGGGAAATTGCTTTAATTAAGGATATCTTGTGAAATGTTTGCTCATATTTATAACCCCGTCGCAACGGTGGAAAGGTGAAAACTGAACGGTAAAACTAGAAAAAGGTGCGCAATCAAAGGCGGAAAATCGTTAGAAAATAAAATCAAAATAACAAAGCGGCCACAGGAGAGAGATAGGGAGTAAAAGGAGGAAAAGGAGGAAAAGAAGAAGGGCAGGCAGGACGCAAGACAAGGACATAATGCGCTTTTCTCGCTATGGAAGCGGTTTGTTTTCCTTTTTTTTTCCGCTGAAGGACCTGCGGACATTTTCGGTTGCCTTCTGTTTTTCCAGCGGTCCTTTGACTATTTGCCATCTTGCCGGCTTCATTTGTTTGTGTTGGCTTGTCAGCGTTCTGCGTTCAGCGCTTTGGGTATTTCGCCGGGATAATAAGATAAAAGCTTTAGTGCCATTCGGGGCAAGTTAGTTAATTGCGTGAATGGCAGTTGCGCCCTCATTTTATTCCATTTTATACTGCTCTTATTCCGATTGAATCGTGCAACCAAATTGGGTGATTAGCAACTGCAGTTCACCGGCGATAATCTTCTTAGATTTTCCCCCTGTTCCATTTCTTCAGCACGAATTTCGTCCAGGCAGTCAGGCTATGTTGGTGCTCATCTTTTATTCAGCACGCAACAATGACAAGTAAAATTTCACCAATGGAGCACATGAAATTCATGCAAAACACTTTGATATTCATAAAGTTGTAAGTACACTCAAAAAAAAAGCTAGAATAGGGACATGTTTTTAGGCAATTCGAAAGCTTTCAGCTTAGATCAATCATAACTCTGTTTATGCAAAAAAAGTTGCTAATTAATTGAATTGAGACAAATTAATATTTTAGTTATATTATTTAAAATAATATTGCTTAAAGTATTTTTCTAATTAAAATTGTTTTCTTTATAAGCTCCTAAAACCTACAGTCTATATACAGTTAAAAATAACTAAAGTTGTTTTTTTTTTCAACATTTATCTCTGTGTACACCTACATTTACTATATATATGGCCTGCCTCGAGTACTATGCAAAAAACAACAAATAAACATGCAGGCAGCAGCAACAAACAATGGCAACAACAACCAGCAATTGTTTCAGCAAAAAACACATCACACATACGAATATATTCGACACTTGCAGTACCGCCTAAATGTTCATGAATGTTCCATAAAATATTAAATGTTTATGAATTTGAAAGGGCCCCTTACTTCATTTGCATAATCCCAATGTTTGTTGGCAAGTGTTTGTGCGTGTGTTCATGTCTGGGCAAGTGTCACATATCGTTATTCTGACTTGTGGCAATAGCTGGAAATGTGACACATCAGAATGGAGAATATAGCATATAGCAAAGGATCAGGACAGTGTCAAGTGTTTAGACATCTCGGCTCAAGTGGCCCACTTCCAAGCGAACTCCTCTCCCATCTAATTCCTGTTTTTCTTCACTCCCGCTGTTATCGCTTTTATTACAATCCGTTTTCTTTTCCACACAGAAAGGAATTTTTTAAAATATAATATATAATCCATGAAATTAAACCACTTGTATCAGATGTATATCTCTTGTAGTGTACCCAAGGCAAAGAATGGTTTTTAAAAATGGTTAATATGAAAAAAAAAAATTAATAATTTAAATTGAACAAAAATACAGTAATCTTAATACTAGTATCAAAAATGGTTTTCAGGATATGGGAATTGTAGAATTATTTTTAGAGGTGAATAGTCTTCAAAAATATATATTTTTTTTAATAATGAGTGTAATAGTCTGTCATTTGAATGCAATGCTTTTTTTTATATGCCGTTTTTTCCCCGGTGCAAGATTTCCGCAATTGCGGGTTCTCGAAGGACTCTCAATAGGAGCAGCACGTCCCAAGTCTCTTTTTTTATGGCTGCTTGTGCATAGTTTATTGCATCCGCTTGCTGTTACCATCTTGCATCTCTGTATACTTTCTGGCTAATTCGTGTTAACATTTTTGCTTCGTTTTTCCATTGTTATGGCCCTTGCATCGCTTGCCGTTTTTTTTTTTGCTTATTGCAACTCATTAGCATGGAAAAGCACTAAAATCAGGGAAAAAACGACAACCTTCTTATCGAGCGGCGACTGTTTCCTGGGCTTAATTGCTATTTGGCTGGATATTGCATTTTATTTATGATGTCAGCTTAGGCCTTGTTAGGCCAGTGGAAATAATTACCAATACAATTATCAAACACTGGGTCACATAGAGAACTGAGAAAAAATAAGGGATAATTAGAGATCGATTTTGTTTAAAAAAGAACAATTTAAAATAAAAGCGTTAAATATTTCACATCTTTTAATAGTGAGATCATGCTTTAGTCATCAATCAAAAACGCAGTATTCATAGTCGTATGGCATAAAATACAATTTTTCAAAATACACCGAATTTTTTCTTTGTGTAGTTCGCCTGGCCGCTGGAGCGGTAAAAATTTATGACACAATGCCGCTTGCCAAACAAGAAATTAAAAGTTTGCGACCCGCACTCGCCAAACTTTTGCGCACACGCATGTGGCGCAGTGGAAAATTTATTAAACTAACTGCAAATTAGTGCACAATTGCGCACACTCACACATGTGAGTTACAAAGTTTTAAGAGAGGGGTAAAAAAAAAGGAAAAGTCACCGACTAAGGGAAAAGAAAAGCTGCAGCATAAATCAAGGCGCCTGCATCGGGGACTGCCCTTAAATTATGTTGCCAATTGGCTAAACATTTCCGCCAGATTGCTGCCCTAATTTCCACAATATTAAATAGAAATGGCGCCGCGCCCAAAAATAAAAGTATAAAAGTAACGCACAGCCAGACACACGACAATGCCTCTAAGTGATTTTCCTTTGTCACTGGAAAATTGTAAAACAATTGTTATAAATTCTATGCGCTTTTTTCCTCTGCCTTGTTTGGCGCTTGATAAATGCAGACAATTAGCCAAATGGTTGACTGGCGCCAGCTTCAGCCATGGTTATACATATAGACAGTCAGTAGCCGACTGGCCCGACACTGGGAAAAAAAGTGAATCATGGTAGAGCACAGTACGTTTGAGTTATTTTGTAAATATACAACATAAAAACGCATTTTTAAATTGATTTACTTAAACTTCACTGTTTTAAGTTAATGTGTATGCTGACATCTTCAGTTTGTCTAATCCAAAATGCCAAAATGTTCTTTTAAAAAATCGTTATTTCCAATATTGGCTATTGTTATAATACTTTACTCTTTTTTTTAATACAGAAAAATTCTATAAAAAAATCAATCTTACAAATCCACTTTTATAATCACTGTCCATTTTTTTAGATGTA